TTGACTATTAGACATGTCAATTCCGTAATATGCATCATGAAAGCCCAGTGGACTTCGGTTAAGCTTGATGAAGTGGCAGCCCTACTCTTACTTGATTGGTCGGTTTTACGCTCTCGAGTGTCAATGTGCGTCTTACTATCAGATAATTATGTTAATAACTGGATTTAGTCTTTCCACAAGTATGTAAGAGTTAGAAATTACTATAACACATAAGTATTTTAGTCTGTTCAACAAAAATCTTTAAAAAATGAGTTTTTTTTTAACCCCAAGGCTATTCGTAGTGCAGTATCGTAGTTAATGTACGCCTACGGAAAAATAATTAAGCTAAAATTGCTCATCAAATCTACACGAAGTTATTTGAACAGCGTTTGTTATTAAGCCGCCAGTAACATGGATTACATTATGTTTTTATTACTGACCAGTAACAAGGTCTTGATTTTTTTGTTTTATTTTTTCACAGCTGCAATTAATTAAAACCTTTTTGTCTTATATTACGTATACATTTTAACGTATTAATAATTCCAATTAATATCTATTTCTTCAAATAAAATATTTACTACACCAAAATGCTTTTTAACATAATTAAACACCAAAGAATTTAATGAAAATATGCTCTAAAACATACAATGTGTAGGTAAAAGTTTGTTTTTTCTTTTTAATTCGAATTTTTTGAAGTTACATTTACTATGACGTAAAAGAGAGTTTAGAACTTTTTGAAAATAGGATCTAGATACTAAACATATATTTTATTTGTTAAAATTGTAGTGTAAAAAACGTAGACGCGGCGTCCCATGGCGGGCACAGGGCAGAGGAATGCAGTTCAACTGGGTCCAGACTGGCGCGCACACACATACGATACTTGTGTGCGTGTTAGTACCACGGGAACTCACTCGGACGTCGCCTTGATATGTTCGACTTATAATCGAGAATGCTTGTGCTGTTAAATTGTTAATTGGAATAATTTAAAAAAAATATATGTATTATTGTGCTTCTTATACGTAAATATTTAATTTTTAAATTAAATACGAATAATCAAACATGTATTTCTAGTATTTGAAATTATTTAGAATTTTTGAATTTAATAACAGTAATAATAATACAATAATTTAGTAACAGTAACAATAAACTAATATACATATCCAGATGGGAAAAGATAAGAAAATGCTCCCTTTTTTCACTACTTACAAAATATAAAAAAAAAATCCATAAAAATTATAAAGGGAGCAAAAAATTAAATATGTCAATGAATAATTTTTCAATCGAGTTTGTAACGAGTAACATTGGTTGTGGTTTTATATCAGTGTGAGTTTTAATAAATACACTAACGCATTTTTATAAGGAACGGTTCGCGATGTTGCTAATTTGACCGAAATCTGTATATATTACATAATAAGCGACCAACGAGACAGCCATGATGAAATAACTGTAACCGCTTTGTGTTGTACGATTACATTAAATAATCAAATTAAATCCGGTTAAGATAGTTTTTTCTGACCAGTATTTTTTTGTATAAGAGTTTTATAAGTATAGCTATCGCTCGTGACTCCGTTCGCGCGGAATTAAAAAAAACATAAGTAGTAATCTATGCGTTCTTCCAGACTATGTTCTATACGCATGCCAAATTTAATTGAGATCCGTTCAGCCGTTTTCGAGATACCTTTATACAAACATCCATCTAAACATTCGCATTTATAATATTAGTAAGAAGTAAGTTAAAAATTCAAGCCTATTATTACAGTGGTCGTCTGTATAAGAATTAAACGATGTCTTTTAATTGCTTATTCAAAATAAATAAAGGTTTTCAATGATATAGATTAATTAAATACATTTAAGGTTAGGAAAATTGTAACTGATTATGTTATGAGCCTCATATACTCAACCCAAATATAAGAACGAAATAACATTGAATAAATGTACATATATAAATCGAAAAACACATGGCGAGATTTGAACCCAGGACCTGCAGATTGCAAGTCATCATCATCAGCTCACTATACGTCCCCACCGAGGGGCTCGGACCCTACCCTAAGTTAAGGGTGATTAGGCCATAGTCAACCACGCTGGCCAAGTGCGGGTTGGTTGACTTAACACACATCTTTGAATTTCTTCTCAGATATGTGCAGCATCACGATGTTTTCCTTCACCGTAAGAACATCGGATAAATGTACATATGTAAATCGGAAATCGAAAAACACATTGGTACATGGCGGATTCGAGCCCAGGACCTGCATATTGCAACACAAATGCTTAAAACCCCTGAGCCTGTTTATTTTTGTATAACATACACAAATATATATCGTCATTCACTTGAACACATAACAAATGCTTTAAGGATACAGTCTGGTGAATCATTAGTGGTTCACCATAAACAATATAATAAACAAAAACGTCATAAAGAAAATACAAATTTAAAGGAAGCAGTGCCTTTATCACAGTACTATCGACGGCGTTGATGATAAGACGCAATTCAACTAAAAATATACGTTACACAATTTCTCGTGCATACATACAAGTTTCGATTGGCGAAACATTTCTCGAAACATATTATTATCTCTATATTTATAAAGAAAACGACAAGGACAGATGTGTGCACGGATCTGTGGATATTCAGAATTCCAAGTTACATGTAGTCAAGACATGTGAAGGAGAATTGTTAGAAGTGGCGCAACGTAAGGTATTTATTTTAGTTGTATTTGATTGGAGATAAATTTTTTTACTGATTTCAAGATTATTTAAGATATTGTAGTCTGTAATATAATCAAGATTGTAAGGTACGATAGCTTTCTCCTAAACGTTGCATCCGCAAAGGAGAGCAAAGTCGATCAATCTTTTCGCATTCTTGAAGACACTTTTGACATCCTTGTAACTTCTTTGTGGATAAAGTTAAAAGTTTTTAAACATTAATAATTATATCATCTCTCAAAATATATAAAGATTTAAATTTATTACTTTTTATAAAGTTCAAGGCGCTGCTTTCTCATTACGTGAAGGCTTGTAGTTATTATGGTCGAACTCAAAAATCGATCCTTAGATATAGTAAGAAGCATGATTAAAAATAATTAGGATAAGCAAAATTAATTCGAGATCGTTTATTGGGTTCGGTTATTCGATATTTGTATGGAAAATTAACAAAATAAAAATAATAATATGATTGCACGTTGCAGTTTACATAATGATATCTTTATCACAACTTAAGTAGTTTCCATTAATTTGTTTTAATATGTTATTTTATCAAAATTGATTTTTTTTATTTATTTTTTAAATGTTCGTACGAAGTCGTATTTGTTTTGCGATAATAATTTCAGATAACGTCGATAACCTAAATACTGCAAGTGGGTTAGCTGCGAGTTATAAACGCGTTCTACTAAATTCCTAAGGCACTTTTTCCACTACGTGACTGATGCGGTCGCGACAGCCAGATAAATAGAAATCTTGGTTCGCTTAGTGGAACATGAGCTAAAGAGTTTCAGATTGTCTTAGTCTGTGTAGAAAGACAGCGTGAAGGCATTGGGCGTTCGGTACGTTTTAAGCAAAAATTAAAAATGTATTCCTTATTGCATATGCTTTGAAAACTCGAAAATCTTTTACATGACTGTTCAATAGTCCAAAGTGATATATAGTACGATAAAATCACGACATTATCAAGTAAAACATTCAATGTACATAAATAATCAACTAAAACTGCTTAGAAAATTGAGATTAACAATGTCAATAGTTGATGTATCGTAGCATGGATTTTTTAATCGTGTAATCTTTGAGATTAAAAATGTTTTGTTATATCTAACGATAAAGATGTATATTTTATTGTAACAAGGTTTTATCTATCTTATTTAATTTCAGAATAAAATGCTTTAAAACTGAAACATATTCGTAACAAATTAAGGGATTTTCTGAAGAGTTTGATCATTTCGTAAGTATTATTAGTTCCCGAACATTGTAGATTTTGAGAAAATCTAGTCTAGATCTAGTATATCTTCCTATCTTTTTAAATTAAAATAGATTCCGATTAATTAAGGAAAAGTAAACACTTTTTTGTTTATCAGAACGTTGCAATTAGTTGTTAACGCCATCTATCGGAAAATAATAGCAGATTAACATTTTTATTTTTGTTTTACTAAGAGTGTATAGACTAAGCTAAGGCCTTAAAAATGCATCTGTCTGTTGTTAGAGTGTATTTAATTGGCCAAAAGTCGAGTACATATAGGAAGCTAATAGTTTTAATAGATTTTAGAGGCTGTACCTAAAAAATCAGGTCAGATAAGAAAAAAACACGACGTTATTTTTAGTAACGTTGCTATTGAAGCTTGTAATTAAATTTAATAAACAAAAATTCCGAGTAAACAAAAGACATTGTAATTTCAAAAATGGCGGTCGTCAATATGGCGTCACATTGAATTCTCGAAAGCAGTATTGTGTCATTTAAAGTGCGATTATCGTAATCTGACGAAGCTACACGATACGCAGATTGGCACAATAATCGAAACGATACATTTTACCTTTTACATTTGCAATTAGTGAGAATTACACACTTGTACGTTATGCTTTAAATCAGGCCGACAAAACAAGAGTACTATAAGTAGAGACTACCCATTATTTTCATTTCCTTATTACTTCTAAAGGGAATGCTTATCAAAATATAGTGTAGTTTTTCATTAAGATTGTAGGATTGTACTTTATTTCTCTAATTTACATATTAACGAATCTCCTGACGACGCCTTCTACAGAGCTACACAGCTAATGCCTTCGAAGCTTTCTATATAGGGTGCTTAGTGCCAGAGGAACAAATCTTATCGTTGGTTTCTGAGATGAAAAACATAAATTTATGGTATGTCAAAGGTAATGAGGTTTTGTTGTTTTATACAGGGATTTCGGTTTCAGAAACCAATGATAAGTGTACTATGTGTTCTTAATCGTCTAAGAAAATGCCGAAGAGACAAAATTCAATGTAAAATTCTATGAGTTATCGCGACAGGTATCTTATCATAATCGCGACTGATAGCCGCTGACATATTCAGTTGTCGAGGCAGCAGCGGCGCGCGTGTGTGTTTTATTTTAAATTTTTTTTAATTAACCGAACTTTGATAACAATTGACATAAGTAAGTGATAAATACATGGATTGATTTAGTACAAATAACTCCTATTGGGAAATTAATTGCAAATATTGTAGGATCTTTGGAAAATTGGCTTTTTCATGTGATCTATTTTAGTGTTCTGAGTAATTCCTTGTTTAAATTTTTCATGATTGAAACTAAACTTATCGGGTTGACTAAATTAGTCTTGAGTTTCCTTTTTTTGTTTACGTTCAAAGTAACACTAATTAAATGTGTCTACAATATGGAATTATGTTTATTGGAATATTTCAAACTATGTTTCAAAGCTAAAGTTTCTTGTTATTTAAGAAAATGACACATACTTCGATTTAGAAAAGAAATAAATGCTTTGTTATTAAATGAGTTTTCATTATAAACTATTTTAATAAAGCTAAAGTTTAGTTTTAGTATATAGTTTATAGTATTATTTTGGTAGTTTAATTAATTAGTTTTATTAAATAGTTTATTATTAATTAAAAAGTTAAAACTTCATACAAATGTATAAAGCTAAAAGTTAGTCGTCTTTCTGTTTCCGTTCATTTTTCAATCTCCATATTGTCATCGGTCGTATAAACTGTGGATAGCACTGTTTTTAAAAATCTATGTCAGTTTTATGATGGCTTTATTTCTTCGTTCGTTATTTATATTGCAATCTGATCCGTTCCACTGCAGTTGTCATAGTCAGTCAGTGTTACCAGTTCGCAGTATGATTAGATTTACGCAGCCATTTAAAAACTGAGTCATAATGTGGTCAAAATAATTAGACACCGTCATCTAGTGTTTTGCATTTCTTATCGTGCACCTCTCCTCCATTAGTATAAGCGCTTGGAGTAGACTTAATATCACAGTTCTACGCTTAGTATTTCCCTTAAACGAATCTGAGTACGATTATTAATCTGTTGAATTCTTTTTCAGACACCTCCTATTAAATTTCGTAACAGAAAAAACAATAAGCGAGGATGTTGGCGGCGACGCTTACCACGTTGACGCCGCGGATGCGGTTCAACTTCTCAAAGCCTAATATAGAGAATATAGTCTTCAAAATGCATTACAAGGCGACGGTGACCCTCCTCCTCGCTTTCGTGATCCTCGTCTGCGCGAGGGAGTACTTCGGGGAGCATATCAAATGTATCTCCGATCAGGGTGTTCCAGATCATGTTATTCAGACGTATTGCTTCTTCATGGCTACGTTTACTATCGTAAGTTTTCTTATGATATATCAATAAGTATCAATCAAGAGTAATTAAGTGGTAAATTTAATCCCTTAATTGATATTTGGTAGAAATCTAAACTAGGAGTCTACTTAAACAATTTTTATAGAAGACACAGTCTTCTACGCGAAAGAGTATAGATTGTTTACATAGTATTAAAAAATAATAAGCGTATGGCTCAGGAATCAAGCACTTGACTTGCGATCTGCAGGTCCTGAGTTCGAATCCCGCCATGTACCAATGTGTTTTTTGATTTCTAATTTACATATGTATATTTATCCGACGTTCTTACGGTGAAGGAAAACATCGAAATGCAACCTGCACATATCTGAAAGGAAATTGAAAGATATGTGTGAAGTCAACCAACCTGCACTTGGCCAGCGTGGTTGACTATGGCCCAGTGACCCCTAACTTAGGGTAGGCTCCGAGCCCCTCGGTGATGATGATTCGTAATTTTACTTTTTAGAGAATTTATGATGGTCAGATGACAAAGGTAATTGGGATACGTAGATCATAGTCGGTTATCGTAAACTTCAAGTATCTAACACTCTGATAAAGTTTGATGTTTCTCTTTGACGTGTGGCGAAATAAGATTATGCTCATAAGTAATTGGTGACTAGGTCTTAGTCAGTCACGCTGTCCTAGTGTGGGTTGGTTGATTACTTACACATCTTTGAATTCCTTTGCTGGCGTGCTGATTTTGCGTCCCAAAACTCTAATTTTGGTCAATATTCCCAACCCACCCTTTTCTTTTTCCTTTTATAAAGAAAGTCGGAAGTGGAAGTGGATTTGGCGGAGGATGAGACTCATGGAAAGGGTAAATATCCTCTTATCCATGTCCAGCGGTTATTTGTTACAATAAATATGCGATGTATTTGATGTTAACATAATATGGTTACCAGGTGCGACATTACAACGAGAGCCTGCTGCAGCATGGCTTCCTGCCGCATCCAGGAGTGGGGCCCATGATGGAGACGGACAGGACGCTGCACCATACATACTACCAATGGGTGCCGTTCGTGCTGTTTATACAATCAATATGCTTCTATATGCCGCATTATATTTGGAAGAAGAAAGAAGGTAAATAAAATGGAAAATACAGATTATTTTAAGGAAAGAAATGTAGGAGAAAACTCTAGATATAATAATAATCTTACTAATACTATAAATGCGAATGTTTAGATGGATGGATGGATGTTTGTTTGAAGTTATCTCCAAAACGGCTGGACGGCTAGTCATGAAATTTGGCACACATGTAGAAAATAGTCTGGAAACACATAGGCTACTAATTATGTTTTTTTTTAATTCTGCGCGGACTTAGTCGCGGGCGGCCACTAGTATGTACTATTTTGATCACGTCTTTGATTAAAACTGTGAAAGAGTTCAGTGGAAAGTTAAGATGATATCCATGATAAGCTCTGAAGATGATCAATTTAAGATTACAATTGGACGTTTTAAAAATAGTTGAAATTATGTAGTAATCAACTGATTTGTTATTTATACTTCTTAGCTAGTATACAAAAAATGTAGGACTCAAACAATTATTTTGTAATTACAAAAGACACAGTAATCATTTTATTATAATAATGTCAAAAGAAGTATTCAATAAAATAGCACTTAAACAAGGTAAATAACTCGAGTGGCTGATAGCGGGCGTGGTGATATGATCCACTTGCTGCTACTACATACAGAGTTGCCCACCGATTGCTCCAATATCAAAAGATGTGCATGAAAACATATTCATTACTTCGATTTTTACCACACAGCATTATTGATTCGGTAAAGTAGACCTTCAAGACTGAAGAGGCACTAGAAGAAGAAGAAAGTAGAAACCCAAAATCACTCTTTAATGATTCGACTAATTTTCGAGGTTTTAACCAATCCTATAAAGTTGATTTAAGCATCTACGGATAAATATAACAATTTTTGATTCATACTGAAGCATCGTTTAAAGGTTAACGCGTATTGCCGAGCCCACTCACACAATGTGACAATTTGATACTAGGTGGTCGTGTGAAGGCGCTGGTGGATGGTCTGCAGTACGCCGGGCTGGCGCTACACGCTGAAGACATGAAGGTGGGCGCCACCACCGTACCCTCGCGCACCACCATCGATAACCAAATCAACCTCATCAGGAAAGATATCATAATGAGGTATGTTGAACTTAAACAAGATTTTTATAAGCAGACTAGCAAAAGAATGGCAAACAAGAATTTTTGAATAAAAAAATAACATACGAGTATATAATTGCTCAGGTTACGCGTGACCCGAACGTGGTCGACGTGGCTAGTGACGATGGAGGTAGTAAACCTGGTGCACCTGATGCTGCAGATCTGGCTCATCGACATCTTCCTCAACGGTCAGTTCATCAGTCTCGGCTCCAACGTCCTTTCCTACGGCGACTGGGAACAAATTGCAGATCCTTTAGAGACGATATTCCCAAAGGTAAATAATAACATTTATGTCTTCCTATCCTTTTGCCTTTCCTACGTATGGTCGGCACAATATGTAATCGTCCATATTTCTATATCATCATCTATGAATTCCCTATCACGTACTACAAAATGCGTTAGTACAACGAAATATATTTATTTTTATGTCTGTTCGTGAATGTGACAGGTGACAAAGTGCCTGTTCCACAAGTACGGTCCGAGTGGCTCTATCCAGCAGCACGACGCGCTCTGCGTCATGGCGCTCAACATCATCCACGAGAAGATATACACCATACTCTGGTTCTGGTTCCTCTTTCTGTTCATCGCCTCCTTACTCGGTAAGTTGCAATCTATTACAAAGACTTCTTGTAAAGATATGATATCTTAGTTCATTTTCCAACCCCGGTTTATAATCTCATATTTACAGCAAAAGCGTGGATCATCATTTAAAAATAATCAGATTTTTGGAACTCCATACCATGTAGTAGTTATCCTACAGTCTTAAGACTAATACCAAATGATTTATTAACATTTATTCTTTTTGCAGCTGTGATCTGGCGAGTTATATCGTTCTTCATGTACCGTCGCTCGCTGAAGTTCAACCAGCTAGTGTTCCGGCAAGTCTCCGCCGGCAAGTTTGATCCTCACAACGTGTTGCATGTCGTCAACGGCTGCCAGTTCGCTGACTGGCTCTTCTTATATTACCTCGCTAAGAACATGAAGACCTCTGTATTCCAGTTAGTATTTTAGATTTATTTTATTCTGTTCTACTTTTAGTTGCTACTCAAATCATCTTAAATTGTGTCTTAATGGATGTACAATATCTTTTCATTTTGCGGAACAAAGAGGTTTGTTGCTAAGAATGTTTTTGGACGTTATTTCTTAGTTATGTACATACTTCAATGTCATAAAGGAAGAACTAACCTATATATCCATACAATCATTCCTCAACGATGAGTTTAACATCACTAGCAAATTTCAAACTAAATCCTTTGTCCATTTTATTATTTTAATGAAGTATCCTTGCATTAGCAAAAAATTAGCAAAAATTTGTAGCAAGTATATTTCTTCTACCAGTGGGGCTTTTCATTTAGTTAACTTATGTTCACTATATTACAGACAACTTTACGCCCGCGTGGCTGAAGAGTTGGAGAAACGAGAGCTGCCAGGGGACCAGGATGGTCACGAGGAGAAGGGAGCTGAACCAATACTCCTCGGAAAGATCGACTACGCTGATGAGACTCTGCCGCTGAAACCTGAGAAGAAAGCTTCATAGTGAGAAGATGTAGGGAGAGATTTTGGACTGTGATTTATCTAGTGTTAAGTTGTGCTCAAGTTAAATGAGATTTAATACGTCATTAAACTTAGGATTTGTATGAAGATGCATTGTGTGCATTGAAAAGTTTATTTATAATGACGTCATCAGAACATATTAACTGTATTGTAACTTGGTTTTTAAAGGTTGGTACAACGTTTGTCGATTGTCAATTTTATGGAATAATTTGAGATTGGTTATAAATAAGGATTGTTACCTTATCTATGGTCGTTTATCAAAATATTGATATGGCGATGATGTAAGAGTTTTTGGTCGAATTTAATAATCGAAACATTCCGTAAGTATGGTGAAAATATTTGATATGAATATTTATTTAAAACTATAATAGTTTTTTAAGTTAGTTTTGCGAAAAAAATATTGCAAAATTACGAATTATTTATGTAAAGTTGTGTAATTTACAGCAACATGGCTCCACTTGTTTTTTTATAAGTGGATAATTAGTGTTGCCAGTTTGTAAATTTTGTATTATTTTTTTACGAATTTAGTTTGTAATTTTAGAAACGAATTATATTTACGATTTTTTAACAATGGTTCTATTTTATTATCATTCTCTTGCCGTTATTTAGAAAGCATTAAAAAAGTGATTTAAAATTTTACGAAAAACGGAATGAGACTCCACCCATATGTCACAATTTTTTTTTTAAACCAACAAAGCAATGACATCAATGTAATTAAAGCCACCATGATATATTTATGAGCACACTGTTAATTTGGTGGCTGATGTAATGAAAATTGTGTCACTCTATGCCTTGGTATTTATACAAATAAGTGGATTTTAACACTTTGTAATTAGCGTATTTTGTGATAATACCGTCTTATTTGCTTTTGTACATCCTTTAAAATATTTAAATGACTAATTGTACAGAGTAAATATACTCCACAGTACTGGCGAATTAACAACGCATTGCTATTAAAAAAAAAAAAAAAAATTAGGCATAAGATATTTATGTCATGTTTAGCGGTCGTCCGCGACATCGTTCGCGCGGTATTAAAAAAACATAATTAGTGGCCTGTGTTCTTCCAGCTTATGTTCTATATGTCAAATTTCATCGAGATTCGTCCAGCCGTTCTGAAGATATCTTTAAACAAATATCCATCCATCCAAACATTCGTATTTATAATATTAGTAAGAAGTAAGATATCTAAATTATACTTGGAGTGTAGAACAAAATTTTAATCATCTCTTGAGGTTATACCATTCAAACGGACGGACAAACTAGACATATATTTCAAAAAAGACGCTTAAACTTTTATAGTGCGTTAAGGATATACATAATGTTATCCCATTTCAAGTTAACACGTAAACACGCTTAGTTTGAACATGATAAGGTAAGGGAGTTGTATTTAATTTGTGATTAAGTAAGAGTCATAGCTCTGAGGATGAAACTTCGATTTATATGTTTAGCTTTCTTCCCGTAAGAAGCGCAGCGGTGCGGTGTCGGAGTGATGACCTGTTAATGATGCTTCGGGACGTGACATGACACGGAAGTTCTAATTATAAAATATTCATAAATAAATAATTTATTATATATACCACCGTACAACAGAAGTGAATCATCGGGTCGATGTAGGTTTAGTGCTTTAAGTGATACGGTTGCATCTTTACCTTATTACATTAGTTATTATCCATTTGCCTATGTTTTTTTGAAAGAGACTAAGAGGGAGGACAATATGTGTAAATATAGTCCCACAATCTTATGTCTGTTATTGACATTAAAAGGGTTACAAAGGCTTACAAAATTTAAGAATTATAAATCAGTAAATTCCTAACTTGTTCTGAAAGTCCTTCATGTTGCAACTCCAAGTAATCGATTGTTAATTAGACTTGAGTTCTCATAGTAATGTCTTACTACTTAAATTGGTACATATAAACACATTAGCATTTTAAACTGCACGTCATAACATCATGCGTGATAGTTTTATGAATTTTCGAAATTGGAAACGGCAACATTGAACCTTGCAGTCTGTATATAATATCGCAAAAATTATATATTTAGCGAACACCAAGTTCTTTTCATTTGCGTTGCTTAGATCGAAAATCCTATTTTAAAAAAAAAATGTCAGTCTGTATGTCTGTTCGCTTTTTTATGCACTGACAAAGTCGCGGCATACTGATAGTTTTCAAGAAACATGTAGCATCCCGAAGCATTCGCGGGATACCTGGAATTTTGGTCGCACAGGTAGCGGGCAGCGGGTAGCGGGCAGCGGGCACCGACTGGTTTGGAGCCGCGCCCTCCCAGCACCCACGCACGAGCCTGTCAAACTGTGTCCATGACCTTAGCGCTTCTCAAACTGTACATCACGCCACCCATGATACAATGACAACTCTGTACTGGAGAGTACGCTCGTTAAAGCCGAAAACTAATGTACGATTAATGTTACGGAATTTATTACTTAGCAAAAATATGTTGTCGACTATTTAAAAAAAAAAGACAGGCAGAAGTTTTTTTGCACATGTATTTTTATAGCTATTTCTGCATAGAAAGCTCAAGATGGCAGGGTTGACATATTATCGCCTATAAATATACAGCACTTTGAAAATCAGTGGCCTAGACATCATTGTAAATCTCCATGAGTTGCAACATGGTCCAAATTTCTGTTACTGCTCTTAGAATTCTATTCATACCATATAAAACCTTACTACTTTCGTATTAAAAGCTACATTTGAATAAAGACGTGAAAAAGAATGAACGAATCAAAAGATTCATATGCCAACGGGAAAGCATACGAATAGTTTTGTATTCCATTATCATAGAGTTTTACTGTTTATTCTATAGAACAGGGATGGGAAACTTTTTGTTTTCTATAGAAATGTTTAATGAAGTTAGAAGACAGGCGTGAAGTGGAAGCAATTCCGCGTTTCGTCTGATGAATGTGCGTCCCGGAGGCCTAATTTTGTCCTTTTTTCCTTCCCATCCTTTTCTTTATAAGGAAATTATGGGAAGTGGAAGTGGACTTTCCGGATGAGAGGATGCATGGGAAAGAAAAATATTTTCTTTCTGTGCATCCTCTCCCCCGTCAATTAAAGGTAGAAAACGCATATGCAATTGCGTATGTCTATGGGCAACGGTCACTTCGCTATTTCGGCGATTTCAGGTGACCGCTCGCTCGTTTGCCACCTTATGATATAAAAAAAAAGTCATAGACGTGCCATCAAATAATTCTGACTCTGTGATTAACGGGAACATTCCGTGGCGTTGGAATCACTCGCGTGTGCTTTACAAACAATACCTACATCCCTTTTTTTTCTTAGTGTATATTGAATATTGTAATCTGTGACACACCCAAAACGCGACACAATTGTCGCGTGTCATAAGTTGACTACCACTGCTATTGAGCATGGCGCTTCATGCTTTTCCTAATCCAAAAAATATCTCCGTATTGTTCAAAGGACGAAACCTTCAAATGTTAAGCTGAGTAGTAATCGTTATTTAATTTTTTATAATTTTATGTTCTGTTAAATTATTTTTCATATTGTAGATTTCATGGACGATATGCTAAATAAAACGAAAGTAGCAGTGTTCAAAAAAAACATTTACTTATTACTACATTTAGGTGACAAAATTAACCTGACTAATCTAGTGAATAAAACCTTTAAAAGTAGGTGACCTTTTATAACACTGGCAAGTTTAAAAAAAAGGAATAAATTACAAGATAAGTAAATAAAAGGATAACGCAATCCAGTACCAACTGTTGATGCAACGCAGCTCTCGTTGATGCAATGGGTCTTAACACGAACAACTTCCGTATATTGCTTAAGCAAAGATCTTTTCCTAGAAATCACAGCACGAGCAAAACTTCTGCTTTATTTAAATAAGCAAAAATATCGCTTCCTTGTTTATGTAAAAAAAACTTAAGAATCACGTTTTAATATTAGAAATAAAATTAATGTAAAAGAGGTCATATTGCATCACTGTTATTTTTTTTCTGTCACTACAATAACAATGTTCGCCTCATTATAATCGTGCCCATTAACACGAAAACAAATAATTTTTCATGGTCATATTATCTAATTCAATTGAACAGATTCTCTTTCATACAATTTTTAATTAATTATTACGATTTTTTTAACACAGTAGGAAAATATTAATTTAAACGTGTCTAAATAACTTGTCAAAGTCACAAAAGACTTGAATCATTGCGCTGCAGCTCAATTAGTAAATCGACAGATTACAGCTCATCGCCATGCACTATAACTGTGTGAGTTGCCGAGCCTCAAGCCGCTTGGCGACTAGAAGTTCGCACCTCGAAACACACATCTTAACTCTTTGCAGGTACAAATAGAGCGGATTTGCAGATCTTCAGTTTTAGTTGAGGTACCCACGACTAATTATCAGTCGGCAGTCTACATTACTTACTTAGAAAAGACAATTCCAAAGATTCAAATGTCACAATCTGCCAAATTACATCACTTTAAAAGACTTTCCTCCCTAAATTATTACATTTCAATTATTCCAGCAATCTACTTTTAACGTGATTTTATTGAATTACGAAATTCAATCATCCATTTGGTAGTTAGAAATCTCTTATTGTAGTTTTGTCAATATTAAAACATAAATTTACTTTTTGTAAAATGGAACGTTGAATGTCAAGCACAGGCTGGCAACCTTTTAATAAATAATGGCAGCGATTCGCTGTTTATTAGGCGTCTAAGCTGACTTGTTTCGTTTGTTTCTTTTACTCTCACACAGACCGTATACAGTTGTCTTACTCTTTCACACAGCCGCTAAACGCTCCGACGTAGGGTTAGCGGAGTGAAACAAAATAAATTTTTAGACAGCCGCACGGATCAGCCGTGTGTCGCAGAGGAGATTCTGGAATTTAAGGTTTATATTATTTTTATGAATGTTACGAAAACAAATGTGTACGTTTTTATGTGAAAAATGTTATGAACTTATAAATACAGTTTTTGTATTAAAGACTTAAAATTACTAACAAGGTAGAATGATAGTGTCAAAACAAAACATAACATAACAAGTGACGAAAATCCAAAAGTTGTGAAAACTGCAGAGTGGTAAGTAATATAAGAATTATAATTATAATTTTCTTTTATAACCTAAATCTAAAAAAAAATCACTGCATAGGAAACAAGTATGATTGAATATTTTTATTTTCTACTACACTAAACTTAATAATAAATTTACCTATCGTAAAGGTGGGTATTGAGTAAATTAACTTCTATGTTACTATAGTCAATTATTTATGATGCACACTATAAACAAAAAAATTGTGACCCTATTTTATAATTGTTCTTATAAGGCATTAAATGCGTCAGTTGTTTTGCCAGTTAATTTTATATTAATGTGTGTTGTTATTTTTAAAAACTACTAGAACTAATATGAGTATGTCACATATAGCTAATATATTTTATTATATATTTTTCTATATACCAAGTACAAACTATACTACATAAATAATATTTTTAATTCCTTTTTATTGTAGATTCC